AAAATTCCTACCAATCTGTTTCAGCATATTTCATATTTTGCTTGATGGTACTGGGGACAAAGCCCAGGTTTTTAAGTTTATTAGGGACAAAGCCCAGGTTTATAAGTTTACCACTAATCCTTATAATCGGCTTCAAATCCTTTTTGGAATGAGGGGAGGTATATCTAAATTAACAAAGTTAAAATAATCATATATAAACAAGCCATAGGCAAACTATTTAGGTTAACACATGTTTTTACTTAAATGTCACTATGATAACAGCACCAATTAACAAAAAAGCTACCTGGGAGGGTTTGCAGAAGTGGATGAATTAAGAGATTTTTGATTCTGGTGGTTCTGGGTTCTAATGCTCCCTCTGCCTATTCTGGATGGGGAGGCAGCCCTTCTCAACCTGCTCTCTGCTCTGTGAGGTTTGGTACCTGATATCAACCTCACAGGCTGTTTCTTTTTTTAAAGATTTATTTATTTATGCATACAAGAACTGGGGTACAGCCAGAGGTGTGGAGGGTGAGAGGATTCACCAGAGACAGATTGGGGAACAGAACAGGCAGACTGACTGAAATATACTGCTGAGGGGAGCAGTGGGAGAGACAGGAGAGGTCTGCTGTGCCATGTGGGTAGCTCCCTGGCTGGCTGGGAATCGAACTCGTCCTGCAATGGCTGCTAGTAGCTTCTTAGTGCTGTGTCTTAACCCCTTGTGCCACCAGGGAGGACCCTGTTTCAAAGGTCATTTCAGACAATATATCTGAAGATTATGGCATGTCATAGGGGCTTAATAAATGTTAGCTCCCTTGTTTTCCCTGTGAGCTTATTTGAATTCCTGACTATGCATGTGATCCTTTCTCAAGTGCAATTCAGAGTTCACTGCAGCATAGATGGTGTCAGGGAAATGGGCTCTATCAGCGTCAATCCACACTTGACTACATTATTAACCATGGAGATATCAGATATTCTAGAGCTGAAGGGTCCTTGGTGAGTGAAGGCGTGATTCTACTCTCCACTTTACAGTGAGAAAACAGGTCACCCATGGCATTGAGTAGGACAGACATGGAAGGGAATAATTTGAAGCCCAGCAATTTTGGAACTTTTGGGGGTCAGTCAAAGCCAATAGCAGTGTCATAATGGAGACTTGATTCCATACCCTTGCTCTTCAAGGTCAGTTCAGATTTCCTGACTGTTTTTAATGGAGGAGTCTTGTCCTGAAATTCCATGGTCGGTTGAAGATAATTAGGTGGGATGTCAATGACACGTAACTGCATGATAAAATCTTAGTAGATTTAAGGTGACCTGTACCATAGATCTCATTTCTTTCTTCTTCACAGTAGACTCATGATTATTACTGCATTTCTAATGGTCATTCTTGTCCTGGTAATGGCAAGGAGAGGGAAAATTAATGCCAGAATTGTCAGTAGGTCTTTTGAAAGTCTGGTGAGCAGTGGGGTGTCACTCGAGCATCAAGCCTGTCCACTACCAGAGGGTTGTTTCTTGCTTCTTAGATAGTTTCCCTTAGAGTCTGATCTAAATCCAAAAGACAGTCAGGGCTTTCAATGCTGAGACTGTGGAAGGGGGCGGTGGAGTTGTGCTATGTGATGAAGCAACTACAGAAATAGCAGTGACACTAGCTGGGGAGGTGGAGGTAGATGTGAGGGGTGACAGCAGCAGACACTGTTGCAGGAAGGGTGGGATATGTGTCAGACCCACACAGGGATCTAGAAGCAGTGCTGAGTCTCATTGTAATTCTCAGGGAAGAACTCTTATCGTGCATATCTCACACACGAAGAAACTAGACACCCGTGTGGGGTGTATGCTCTAAATTGTGGCTGAGAGGAAAAACACTTTAAGGGTTCCAGTCCAAGTAAACATCCTGTGATTGTTGCTGATGATGTGTGACTTGGAAGACTAGAAGACTTGATAAAGAGAGCCGGGGAAACCTGACAAGGAGTTTTAGAACAGAAGGTCAGGGAAGCAGTGGCCTCCACATTTAACTACTGGGTCAAATATTTATTGATCACTATCTCTGCTCAAAGATGGAGGTAAACAAAAATGACTAAAGGCATCTTAGCCTTTTCTTCTCTCCTTCTTAATCCTTCAGTACATGTTTAAATACTTCCAGTTGTAGTTTCTGGAAAATGTCAACAGTCCAATGCAGTATTTTGGCATATTGGATTTTTAAAAAAGATTTATTTATTTATGCACACACAAACTGGGGTACAGGCCAGAGGTGTGGGGGTGTGTGTGAGAGGATTCACCAGAGACAGAGTGGGGAACAGAACAGGACGATTGACTGAAATACACTGCTGAGGGGAGCGGTAGGCAAGACAGGAGAGGTCTGCTATGCCATGTGGGTTAGCTCCCTGGCCGGGAATTGAACTCGTGCTGCAGTGGCTGTGGATCGCTTCATAGTGTTACTGCAAACCATTTATAAGAGGCAGAGAGATTTAATAGTTCGTGTGTGCTGGAGCTTATATATGTATTTGGGGTGCTTTAATTATTTTGACATTATTGGACAAGTTTTATGTGAAAAGCAAATATTTTAAAATCTTTTAGTGAATGTGTCAATTTACATGCACATAATGATGTCTGAGAATTCTCATTGCTCCACATCCTCACATTGGTATTGTCATTCATTTTTGTATTAGCCAGGTTTAGTGAATTAGATGTGGTATCTCGTAGTATATAGAAAACATAAGCTTTTAAAGGTATAATTTATACATGATTAAATATACTCATTTTTTAATTGTGAAAAAAGCCTTTTCTCTAGTGTATCTCTTGGTCATCAATCATTTTATTTTATTTTATTTATTTATTTTTAAAAAGATTTATTTATTTATACATGCACTGGGTACAGTCAGAAGCGCGGGAGGGTGAGAGAATTCACCAGAGCCAGAGTGGGGAGCAGAGCAGGCAGAAGGACCAAAGTACACTGCTGAGGGGAGCAGCGGGCGGCAGGAGAGGTCTGCGCACCATGCGGGACCCTCCTCCGGTGGCCGGGGAGCAGCCGGGGATTGAACCGGCGCTGCAGAGGCTGCGGGCAGCTTCGCAACCCAGCGCTCAACTGCTGCGCCACCGGGGAGGCCCTGATCAATCATTTTAAATGAGATAATACAAGTAACATTGATTTACAACATAGTATGTGATTTACAGGTACAGGATCTCCTCTTCCAGGTGTTTGCTACCACACTACCACCCGTAGTCCTCCACCTGTAAACTTCCACATCAGGTACCCATAGTCCTCTTCCTGTAAACAAACAAACAAAAAAGACTTTTAAAGAACAGTATAATGATAAAAATGTCTTTCAATATTTTAAGTATTTCTTGTCGCAACATAAAATGATTTTTATTATATAATAAAATTCCTGTTTCATTAAACTTGTCCATTAGAGCAAAAACAATATCTGCATTGGTTAAGGTTATTTGATTGCAAATAACGGAAACCAAGTGTCCCTTAAAAAAAGAAAATTTATAGGGAAACTATTGAGTGACTGAAAGAATTGAAGGGAAGTCTGGAAAAATCAGGTGTAGAAGCAGAAAACAATCAGGGCATTTTGAAGAGACTTGAGAGATGGAGGCTCTGAAACTGCAACTCTTCTCAGATACCACTGCTAGAATTCTTGAGATCTAATCATTTCCAGGCTGCTTTTCCCTTTGCTCCAGATTTCTTTTTGAAGCCTGCATAATGACTCAGACCCTGGTAGGACAGGACCCCAAGATTGACAGTCCCACTCAATTCTAGTCAATGAAGCATAGCACTCCCTTAAGGAAATTAGGGCTTATTATCAGGAGAAAGGCACAATGATGTAGGTCAGCTCAAGTGCTACAAATGTCATAAGGATAGTCCTAATTATGCTTCCTTTTACCATAATTCTTATAATTTTTGGCTTATTTTCTTTTGTTCTTATTTCCTGTTTACTTGTTTCTTTGTTTTGTTTTTAAAGAACTGAATTTTCAAAACTGCCAGATGTTAAACATAGTGACAGTCTCATCTCTTATTTAGCATCTCTTACAAGTTGTTGGACATTTATGTTGTTGTCATTAAAGATAATGTCGATAAAGCTTCAGTGAATAGTGACGGGTAACCTAAGCTGGATTAATAATGTAGTGCTTCTGATCGTGGGGGTCTGATCCACTCTATTGTCTTTATTTATTTATTCAATTTTTTAAATTAAATTAATTTTTTTTTATTTTTAAACAATATTTGCTTTCCCCCCCACACCCTCACATTAGGTCCCCATAGAATTTCCTTCCCCAAGTCACCCATGGACCATCACCACAGTCCCCTGTGTTCCTCCCTCCCTCCCTCTGATCCCTCTCCCTCCTCCTCCCCTGCAGGATGTCTCTGATTTATTACTGCCCGTTTTTGCTTTGCTGTGTTTTGTACTGTTAATATTTTTTTACTCTATTTTAGTTGGTTTCCCTATATTCCTGTTATAAGTGAAACCATCTGATATTTTTTTTCCTTCTATCTTATTTCACTGAGCATAATTCCTTCTAGCTCCATCTACATTGCTGCAAATGGCATGAGTTTATCCTTTCTGATTGCTGAATAACATTCCATTGTGTATATATACACCACATCTTCTTGATCCAGTCATCTATTTTTGGGTATTTGGGTTGTTTGCTGGTGGGAGTGCAAACTGGTCCAACCACTGTGGAAAGCTGTCTGGAGGTTCCTCAGTCTACTAAAAATGGAGCTACCATACAACCCAGCAATTCCACTACTAGGGATCTACCCAAAGGACACAAAAACATTCATTCAAAAGAACACCTATACACCTATGTTTATTGCAGCACTATTTACAATAGGTGAAACCTGGAAACAACCCAAATGCCCAAAAACAGATAACTGAATCTATTGTCTTTTAAAAAGAGGGCAAGTTAAAAAAAAAAAGTCAGAGTTGTAGCAGAGCTATATAAATGAAGAGGATTTTATCAGACACTGGAACTCTCAAAGGGAGGTGCGTCTCATACCCAGGGTCTGACTATCTTTTTTTGGTCATTAGGAGGCAAGCTGATTTTCATGGATCCAGGACCCATTGAGCTCAGGGCACATGCCATCCTTGTTTCTGATGGTGGAGAGCTCCGGATTGGATCCAGGGAAAAGCCGTTCCAAGGCAAAGCTCAGATTGTACTCTATGGAAGTTCTGATTCTACCTCCTTCTTCCCATATGGTGTCAAGTTCCTGGCTGTGCGGAATGGAATTCTTTCCCTGCATGGTGAGTGAAGTAATTGACAGAATGAAATGAGGTGAGGGTTAATGGCAGACAATGGGGGAAATAAACTGCTTAAAAATCTTTGGCTTTTAGTTGCTGAAGTAAAAAAGGTAATTAAAGCAGGGGCACTAGTTCCTTAAATAAGAAATATTGTTATGATTCCAGTGGTAGAGTAGACTATTTGCTGCCCTTCCTAAAAGAGCAGTGTACACCTCTGCCCGCTGTCAGGTGACTTTAGTGGACCATACTTTCCTGCTTCATGGAGGGTGGGCTAGCCATGAACTGGCTTTGGTCAATAGAATGTGAGCATAACATCATGAAAATGAACTGATACAATTTTTTGCATACACCAATGACTATAAACACTGATGACATCATAAGCCAAATACAGGCAACTTCATTTTGTTGTTGTTGTTGCTTTTTTTCCCATCTGGGACAGGATTCTGTTAGAGTTCTAGTTAGAAACCCATTATAGTTGTGTAGAGTGTTTATAGATTCCTGGGAGAAAATCCAAAGGGATTAGGCTACCATTCGTTTCTGCTCCAATTTTATTTGTCTTCAGGGTACTGAATCCTACTTTGCAAAATGGATATCTTTATTTTCCTTGCAATTTAGGAAACTTCCTTACAAGTGCTAACTGTGCTGGGATAATCCTTAATATCAACTGGAAAATATAAGTATAAAATGATGAGCTTTAAGTATCTTTCAGTGGGTATTTATATGCTGTTGTTTACATAGCATGAAACAAAGACAGATAAAAATGTGGGATCCATGGTTTAAAGGTACAAATTCCCACTTATAAATAAATAAATTCAGGCAATGTAATCTATAGCATGGTGACTATCGTTAACACTATACTGTACATTTGAAAGTTGTGAAAAGATTAGTTCCTACAAATTCTCATCACAAGAAAAATAATTTGTAATTATGTGTGGTAGTGGATGTTAACTAAACTTACTGCTTGCTCATTCTACAACAAATACATCTACTGAATCATTATGTTGTAATCTGAAATTAATACAATGCTATATGTCAGTTCTCAATAAAAAACTTTCTTAAGAAGTGTAGGCTCCTGATACTGGGCCAATTTTTAGAAAATGTTATGTTGTCCACATTGAAATTTCTACTTTAGCAAAATAAAATACTATGCAATCAATCATAGAATAATTATTCTAGACATGGTGTGTAGCTTTATTGAAGAGTGCATTTTCTCTATCAAGACTCAATTTTTTTTTTTTTTTTTGGCAGAAGAACTGGGGCCAAAGGTGTGTGTGGGGGTGAGAGCATTCATCAGAGATAGAGTGGGGAGCAGAACAGGCAGATCTACTGAGATGCACTGCTGAGGGGAGCAGCGGGCAAGACAGGGGAGGTCTGCTGTGCCATGTGGCTTAGCTCCCTGGCCAGGGATCGAACTCAGGCAGTAGCAGTGATAGAGCTGAGACTTGACCCTTAGACCACCAGGGAGGCCCAAGTCTCTATTACAAACTGTGGGTCTCAAATCATTGTTTACAAAAAAACACTCTTTTATCTCATTTATCTTACCATGAGAGGAAAGGAGATCTTTTTTGTCAAGCCTTTATTCAGTGTTGACTACAGACCAGGCAGAATGCTGGACACTTGGTTAATTTTTTTTTTAAATTTATTTATACAAGCACTGGGTACAGTCAGAAGTGCGGGAGGGTGAGAGAATTCACCAGAGCCAGAGCGGGGAGCAGAGCAGGCAGAAGGACTGAAGTACAATGCTGAGGGGAGCAGCAGGCGGCAGGAGAGGTCAGCGCGCCACATGGGACCCGCCTCTGGTGGCCGGGAGCAGCCGGGGATCGAACCGGCACTGCAGATGCTACGGCAGCTTCGCAACCCAGCGCTCAACTGCTGTGCCACAGGGGAGGCCCCTAATTTTTATAAGATTTTTAAAACCCATAAGAATTATCTGGACAGAAATCCAAAATGCTTATAATACTCGTAGGTTCTTCTCAGGAGGAATTTCTTTCTCCTATCTTCATCAGCAAAGACTCACATTGATCTTATAACCCAGGACCCACGAAAGGTTTTTGTCTATTCTCACATTAGCCATGTTTGCTCCAGTCCAATAGCCACTTAGATCACTCACACACTGTGCTGCTGTTGGCCACTGAAGAAAGCACAACAGGAGAGCAAGAGGGCACACAGTCACAGGTCATCTGTAAGACCCTAAAGATGAGCAGGGGTCCTTTGGGTTGAGAGGCACTGTCTAGTGCCATGCGGATGGTACAACTCTTGCTAGGTATGGAGATTCAGATGAAGGAGAGTGAAAACTAATTCTTTTACTCTGCTCCTTTCATTCTGACCCCTTGTCATGCTCATGTCCTATTATGAAGGATCAGTGAAAGAGCTTATAAATATACCTTTAGGCCCCTGTGCTTTAATTATGCTCCATATTTCTTGTATTTAAAAGGATGTCAAATTAAGGGCCTCCCTGGTGGTGCAAGGGGTTAAGATGCAACCTATGAAGCTATCTGCAGCCACTACAGCACAAGTTCGATCCCCAGCCAGAGAGCTACCCACATTGCGCAGCAGACCTCACCTGACTTGCCCACTGCTCCCCTCAGCAGTGTATTTCAGTCAAACTGCCTGTTCTGTTCCCCACTCTCTCTCTGGTGAATCCTCTCACCCCCCACATCTCTGGCCTGTACCCCAGTTCTTGTTTGCATAAATAAATCTTAAAAAAAAAAAAGACATCAGGTTAAAAGAATCCCTAGTGCCAATGCTTACAATCAATATAGGACAATTAAACAAAGTAGCTGCTTTTAATGTTTGAGAATTCTTTAAAAATGTTGCTGCTTTAGCCCTGTCATGTCATTGGATATCAAGAACAAGGACACCTCGCTGCTCCCCTCATAACCATCTTCTCTCCTTCTCTTCTTCTCTGTCCCTCATCCCCAAGCCCCTGTTTTCTCCTCTTCTATATTCCTAGGGTTAGGTTGTTGTCAAAAACTAGGTTACGCATTTCCTCAAAACCCTGCCAATACAGGAGTGACGAGGATCTCTCATCTCTCCTGAACCGTGGAGCTCGTGTCATGAACGCAGGCATATGCAAGCTGAGGCGAGGCTGCAGCACTTTTTTCATTTGAAGGGATTATGTGGAAAAGAGCTTAGGCAGCTGTGAAAGGGATCCCCTTCCTGGGGTCGCTGAGAGGATCCCAGCCGGAGCCTGGGACTCATCAATCCTCTCCCTTCACCCCTCCTCCCTTAACACCTGAGGTCTTGAACTGATTTCCCCTCCGGCGTGGCGGTATATCATGGTTAAAATCGTTACGTAATTTCACTGGCCTTTTCCCAGGGCCAGAGGTGGGTCTGGAGACACTGGAGCTTTAGGGAAAAACTAATTTTCTTTTGCTGTCAAGTATGCAAAACACTGAGCAACTTGATTCACGGCTTTGCACCCAGAACGTCCCTAATGACCCAGCATTTACGCAGCTTCCCAGATGATGTCACGAGGAGATTCACCAACTTTAGTGAACAGAGGACTTTCCTGGGGAGATTGAGAAAACTCCAGGTTTCTGCATCTCACCCCAGTCTGACTTGTAGATTGGAAGAGGACCTGGGAGGGTGCGTTTTAGTGGTGCCCCCAGGGGACTGGGTCCAGAGGCTACTGATGGTACTTGGAGCAGCACTGCTTTTAGTGGTTAACAGTTTTGGAATCAGAAATCAGTCCAGCTATTCCACTTACTAGTTATGACCTTGGCCAAATTAATGTCTTTAAAACTGGGAAAACAGTCCCTACTTCGTTCATTTACTACCTGTGAACTGCTCAGAATTAGCTGGCAGACACTCAGGCAGTGTTAACTATGACTGTTTTTTTTTTTTTTTTTTTTTGGTTATAATCTTTTCTCCTCCTATATACTCAAAGCGCTGAATATCTAGTGCCAACGATCTTGTATTTTCTCTTAAGGAAGACAGGGCAGGAAGCCAACTGTGCTTAAAGACTTTCCTCCTTGCTAACTTCCTTGTCTCCCCTTTTCCTCAGAGCAAGACGGAGGTTTTGGCTTTGGAGATCAGTATTCCCAGGCATCTTGTGCACTGCTCCCTCCACCCAGTGAACACCTTTTGATTTTAATCTCTTGTGGTGCAGCTGCTTCCCAGCAGAGGATAACCACCCTTCCCGGGCAGGTCACAGTAAAGGCTTCTTAGAAACCTTTTGCAGTATAGCCAGAAGCAGAGCGCTGCTGAGAAAGCACAGGCATTTTATTCCTCACATCTATGAGATCTGACTAATTTGAATCCAGATCAGTCAGAGAATCACACAAATGGGTCTCTGTGTGGGTAATGTAGCTTTGCCCACGTGTCTGTGATATAGCTTTGCCTGCCCTCTCCTTCTGTTGTCATTCTTTGTTGCTGTCCCTTGTCATCTTCCTGCTCTGGCTGATTTTTATCATAGATTAAAACTGCTAAGCAAACAGTCTTTGCTGTTCAACTGTCAAGAAGAAAGACAGAGTTGAAAGCACACTTCATGTTTTTCTTTTAATGCAGAAAAGCTCTCACACACTCCTGTACTCTCACACTATTTGTGCACATCCACATGGGCACACACACCCGCAGGCAGTGGCATCTTTCTTTTTTCTCTGGCTTTGGGTGTGGATTGGGTCTGGGTGTGTTCTGGATCCATCTCTGGAGCTGTTCGGATTGCTTAGTAAGTTCTGTCAGCTGCTGACTTCCCAGTGTTCTGTGACCAAGCGTGGCAGGATTCCTCCAGAGTGGCAGACTGGGTTTTGGGGGGTAGTGGTCAATAAGGAAATTTCACTCGTCTTTTGCTTCCCCAACTCTGACTGCTGATCCAGCTTTGCCACTTCAAACTGGGGTGCCAATCACATGTCACTTTTCAAGGGGGTCGCTGTCAGCCTGGGCGGCTTGAATTTTTGACAATGTAATTACGGCCCTTGCTTCCACAGTGGGAGTCTGAGCAGGACGGTGGGGTTTTTATTGATTGTTCAGCAGGGAAATTTATCAATGTCTCTCACTTCATT